AAGTTACTTTGCTTGTATTACATAGATTTCCACAGAACATGGTCGACCAGACCTTTCAGGATCCCAAAAACGAGCCATTGCACAGAGGCACTGTTCCGTTAGACAACAGTAAAGGGAATGACTGAGTCCAGCAGCTGCTTTTCATAGCATAAGTCACTGCCAAATGTGGCACATGAAGGTAGACATATCTGTGTTAATATTCACATGTAGAAATTACAAAACAGAAATATAAAATTAGTAACAGATAACGCTGCACATTCAAAGCTTCAGTCCTAACTTAAACAGGTGCTTTCCACTACGGAAATTCAGTATTCTTGGCACGGCTTTGGAGGAGAAGAAAAATTCTACAGGAAGGAAGGTCTTCCAACTCTGTCACTGGAAAAACAACATGTTTACTCTAAAATAAAATTAAGAGGAGTCCAACTCATTTAACGGAACCAATTACAATTCATTACTTATTAAATATTCTGTTCCTTGGGTGAAACAGAGATGAGAGGTTCCTTGGGGGAAAAGGGATGGAGAAAGAGTGTGTGCATGAATGTCAGAATGTGCTGGGTCTTTTAGCCACTGCCTATTTAAAAAATAAATAAATAAATAAAAATCTAAGAAGAGTATTTGACCAAATAGAATAGAAATCATGAACACAGCTTGCAGCTCTGAAGCTTATGAACGTGAATTCATACACGTTAGGAAGTCAAAAATGAAATAAAAAAAAAAACTCCACTGTGTGCCCAAAGCACTGAACAAGGGGAAACAAGGATTGGGAAGCCGCACAGAGCTAACTGGCTGTGTCATAGCACTTGAGTCTTCCCAAGGTCTCGTATGTGTATTGCAATGAAAATCCAGCACCCAGCAAGTAGAATTTGCTGCTATGTGCGGTGATAATCCCTTAAAGCATGCGTGTCCAACCCTCTGGCTTGCCTGAGCCATGTTGAGTGAAGAAGTATGGTCTTTGATTGCATATAAGATACACATTATAGTTCAGTTACAGAAGAAAGAGCTGTCATGACTTTTAAATCGTTTTTATTAAAACATTCCGCTTGTGCCCCCTCCCCCTAATTGTGCTTCTGCTGCAGGGACAGGTCCTGAGCACAGCCAGTCTCTGCTGCCAGTGCCCCCTGCTGCAGAAACAAGATCCCCACATTGAGCGCCTTCAGACACACACAACATGGGATGTCAACCCCACTCGGGCTGGTGTCCTGCTGCTCTGGCAGACCTGCCCCTTTGCTGTCCATGAGCGCTGTGCCAAGGTGGAAGAGCAAGGCTGCCCGAGGGACAGCTCCACTGGCACGGGGATCATTGGCAGCAAGTGGAGGGAAGCGATCCCTCCTGCTGCAGCATGGCCAACACCTGGCCCCTCAGTCTGCGCAGGGCGACGCCTTCCTGCTTGGGTGTCGAA